ACGGCTCTCGCCCTAGGAGCTCCGTTCGCACCCCGCTCCGCTCCGCCCCGCAATTCTCCTCCTCGCTCTACCCCGGCTTTCGCCGCGAGGGGTCCCGCTCGCCCCTCGCTCCGACCCGCAATCATGTTCCCCGGCCGCCGCCGCGAATAGCGCCGCTCGCGCCCCGCCGCCGGCTGACGCGTCCCGTCGCCCTCTGGCCAGCAATAGAGCGCCACGCCGAAGCCGCGTGACTGCACTCGCCATGCGAATGATCCGTTAGATTGGGTCGGAATTCGCTCCCGCCGCGGAGACAACCTCCCGAGGTACGCGCTCGGCCGCGAGGCCCCGTCGGACTCCGATCCTCAAACAACGGACGCGATGCGCTCCAAGACACGTGCGAGAAAGATTTGGACAACGGTGTTGCACAATTACGCCCGGATTTTAAGACGGTTCAGAGAAAGCCAGATGTGTTCTGGATCTAGCGTGCTGGCTTGGGGTGCACATATTCTCGACAGACAAAATCTCTTGGTTACATTCGTGAAAAGCTCCATTTGAAAATGTACACGCAGTGGGAACGTTTTAAAACAAAGTAAAAATGCCAGTTGATTGTGATTGAATGTTAAATGAAAATTAATGATAAAGTTATTTCATTAGAAAGCTCAATATATGTTAAAGAAATTCAAAGCAGATGCTTTCAATACATCAAACTTTACCCGCAGATTCTTGGTGTTCTTGTGACATTAATCTGTTTTATTCTCTCTCTCTCTCTCTCTCTCTCTCTCTCTCTCTCTCTCTCTCTCTCTCTCTCTCTCTCTCTCTCTCTTTCCTAATATGGAAATTTACTAAGTAATACGCCAGAGAACAATGAACAGTGTAAGAACAGTAAACCAATGGGTACTCTCATTTAATGTCTAATCAATGTTGGTCATATTTTTTTCACTACAGGGAAATATATATATATATATATATATATATATATATATGACACAAAATCCAACTCAATCAAAGCTTCTTACTTAGAGTCCTCTCAAACGTCAAAATTGTTTGCTGTTACAAATACATTCAGAGTAGAACTCTTCTTCAAAGTTTGGTTGTATTCGTGTGAAATGTATGAGATATAAATCTAGAAGGGCGCAAAATAAAGCGGGGAGGGGGAGGGCAACAAGATTTCTGGGTCTCTTTGCCATTGAACATGTTTACTTACATATATAATACGTATTTTACATGTAAATAAATAAAGTACATTTCAATAAGAGTGGAATTATAATTTTAATGATCAATAATATTAAATACATTTGATTTAATGTAAAATCATTTAAACGGTTGTCTGATGGCTTGGAGACCCGCTTCTCCAAAAGTCGTTTAACAATTTCCCAAATTGTCAAATTAAAAAGGGAAAAATCAGGGATTCAATGTAATGTAAATAAATGTTTTATTTCCTGGGGTTACCGGGCCCCTTTCAAAAATTTTAAGGGGCCACGACCCCTGCCTGTACTCACCCGTACGGAGATATACTTGTATATGCTTTTGCTTCGCGTTCATGAAAAGGACGAGGTTCAACGTATCCCACTGCAGCGGGGTGTGTCCATCTCTCACATTCCCGTCGACTACCGTAATAAAACAGCTGTCAGCTTGGAATTTCCTTCTGCTCCGCGAGTCGAATGCAAACGAGGGTTCAGATTATGCTCACGGCAACGGGCTAAGAAGACTTGGCACTCACAAGGAACCCAGGGGAATGATATGCAGACATAAATATTCCATTGTGCACCAACAATAGATTTATTAATAAATTGTTTCCTGTTCATGACGCAAACCAAGCTGACCGTTGACAAATTCGGAAGTTATCAACGTACATAGATACCTTAGATTTGTGAAAAACTCTGCTAAGTAATGAGTTTCAGTATTTCTGTGTATCTCTAAGAATATCCATAGATAGAGAAGAGAGTAGTTTGTTGCCAATCGACCTTCGTTGATTAAGCTCTTGTGAAGAACAAGTGAAATACATTTGAAATGGAGATGAGTAACATTTGAATACTTATCTTCAATTATCATCTCTTAACGTAGGTTTTTTAGAAAATGAACTATAATTTTCAGAATTTTGAAACAATATTTAATTTCTATACGCACTGCTTATGTAAAATCTTAAATTATATCGTCTTTCTTGTCAGTTAAAATGTCTAGCATGTCTGCATTTAGTATTTTTTCTCATCTATGAGACCGTTTTCCGCGCCCCATTTATCATGCATTGCAGTATCCAATTATCACGATTTTTTTTTTACTTTGTCGGTCGAGTATCCACTTCTTGACATTTTTGTCTTTTTATCTATGCGTACTACATCTGATGTTTAATCTCAGGAATCAGGTTGAAAAAAATATTTTTTTTCTCTCGTTTTTACTTTACATAGTGTTATAAAGAATGTCTTAACACATCTTCACCGGAACACCGTTCTATTGTCAGAAATTTGTCTCTTATTTCTGTTAGTTAAAACATCGTTACGACAAGAAAAAGAAAACAACACGGCACTTTTCTTCCGCTCACAGGCGGCAACATCCAAAACGCTCAACATCAAAACGACGAAGCCCGTAGTTACTCCGCACATCCGAACGCGCCGAGCCGCCCAGCAAAAACACGCGCCGGAATTGGGTCATGGAGCCGGCGGGTCGCGGCGCCAGCTGCGCTCGCCCAGTCGCGCACCGCCACTGCACAGCGCGACACGCCCGCACGCCGCGAAATTTCAGCGCTCGCCGTCGCTCAATTTGGACGACGGCGTAGGGGCGCACATCCTAAATCAAGAGGGGGGGGCTGACTACATTTCTGAACCCACCTGGCCCTCTCTGGACCCCCTTTTCTGTAAAACTTTTTATTTACACAAGACACATTTTACTAGTAAATAATAAATAAAACAAAACAATGACAAATGAATCACTTTTATGACACAGTTAATAAATGCAATTTATTCTTTACGTTGAACCATTTACAGGTTTGACAGGTAGTTTGGAGAGTCTTTTCCTCAAATCTCTTTTTCCAATTCTTCAAATAGTCCACTTAAAAAAGGGGGATTAGTAATTAATCGTATTTAAGGAAATTTGATTTATTATCTAGGACGACGGGCCCCCTTTCGAAATTTTCAGTGGCTACGTCCCCCTGAGAGCACGCATATGGAAGAAAGAGTTCTTGAAAATTCATAACAAATCTAAGACACAAAGGATGAAATATTCGTAGAATAAGAAAATGTAACGCAATCGCTGTCAGAGATGTTGCGGATTTTAGTGAACAGAAATGAAAGAAAACGATGAGAAAGATCGAATAAAAGGACTGGCAGAGAATGAGGGAGCCCAAAAAATGTGAAATCCCAAGAGTCCAATTTGAAAATTCTCAAAAGCGCAGCCTATGCCTCCAGCACAATAAACATTTTTCCTAAGCCCAGGCAGAAGATAACCACAACAGAAACAGTTTCGTAAGATTTGGTTTACCATTATCTGAATCGCTTCTAAAATGTAGGCAGATAAGCAAAAAGAAAGAAAAAAATTGTAGACCGTTCGACAAATTAGACGATGTAGTTTAAAAAACATCTAAAAGTCTTTAAATCTATGTTTGTGGCCAAGGAGCCAATATCGACAAGCACACTGGTCCCCAGCGACTATATTCAACCCGGCATAGACTCCCAGAGGGGCGCAACTGGGGCTACTTGTCTCATGCCCCAACTTAATTGGAGCCAGGATTTTTTCATTTAAAACAAAGAAAAAAGTATCTACTTCTAATACAAATTGACCGCTAATGAAAGTGCAGGAGAAGATTTAAGTATAATCTTCTAAATAAAAAGTAGCGTCGTATGTCTAATTAATCATAATTTATAATAGATTGTTATAAGTTAATTGTTTAAAAAATAGAAAAATGTACAAGAAAACATTAAGTCGACTGACCAAGATACCTATTATACATGTTGACCAGACATGTACACCAGTTATACATGTTGGGTGCACCTCTGAGTATTTTAATTGATGTAATTTAATAACAAAAATTAAAATAGTATATGGACGCGAGGGGAATTAAAATAGTATATGGGAGGGAGGTTGAAACAAGCGACCCCCGTGGATCTACCACTCCAAATCCCTTGATTCCCAGCTGGCCCCCTGCGCCCCGGAGGAAACTTTGCCTCCCCGATGGCCGCGCTGGGCGTGGCGGCCGGAGTTTGCACAGCGCGAGCCAATTAAAGCCGCGCGCCCTGAGCTATTTCGCGCGGGCGCTATTGACTGAGGCGCGTCTCCCTGTCGTGTTGCAGGCCCATCTGAACACGTGCAAGCACGACGCCGTGCCCTGCACCAACAAATGCGGCGCGCAGATCCCGCGCGTCCTCATGGAGGACCACCTCAAGTACACCTGCCCGCAGCGCCGCGCTCGCTGCGAGTTCTGCGGCAAGGACTTCACCGGACAGACACTCGAGGTGAGCTACGCCGACAACACAAGCTGAACTCCTTAGTACTTCAGGGGGTAATAAAGGAACGGGTTGTTAATGCCTGTTGATATTTATTGTTAAGTTTCAATTGAAAATTCAACACAACTTTCGTTGAAATTTGCAAACCCTTTTCAAGAGCATATAAAAATCGTATAATATAAACACATATAATTAAGAAAAATCACGAAAATGTATAAAACATGCGAGTAAAACTTTAAAGGACATATATTCCATGTCAGTAAAAACGACAAAGCGCTCGAGGTGAGCACCTTATTTTCATTAAGCTTCTATAATCGGGAAATCAAGTAAATTTCACATATATAATGAATAATAACAAAAAAAGTCAATGTGGCTACCCAAGAAATCCGGCGTTGCCTGGGTATTTATCTATTAGAAAGGAAAAGGAATTAATTATATCAATTGTTTAAAATGGAATTAATTTTATTTCCATACCTGCCACGCCCCGCTTCGCTCCGTCCCCCCTTTTCAGCATCTGACCATCCGCCTCCCCGTCCTCTCTCTCTCCTCCTCCTCCCCCCAGCCCGACCATGCCACTTTTTCTCGCAATCCGAAATACCTAAAAGCATTGCATACTACGTTAAACTAAAAAAAATGGACAAAAACCAACATTTTTTTCCCTTGAGGAGATGGATGGATTTTGAAAAATTATTTCTTATATGTTACATACATCACAATGGGTACCTATGTTTAAAATATCACGTTTCTAGTGTCAGTGGTTTTAGCTCTACTTTGTCAGTCAAATTCTTCTTCTATCGTTGGGTCAATTTTCCAGCGCATTAGGAAGCCTTATTTTCAGCTTCAATGTAATAATAGTTACACATACTGTTTAGTACTAAGCTATAAATTAATTACATTTAATTCATTCCGGTATTGCTTCATACTTAACACTCAGCTAAATAGTATGACATTTAATGGCAGATACCCATGAGATGTTGAAGACCCTACTTATGTAACCATTATTCACTAAGCACTGAAAATTTCATAAAATGCCAGTAGTTTCAAGATGCGTAACATGTAGTGGGTATTTCATTTTAAATTAGGCCTATTCCCAAGATGAAACCTTCCCATTGATCAATATGATCCTCCCTTCATAAATAAAATAAGTTATCAACAAGTTAATGCATTACCTTTACAACTTACCATTATGACACAGGCTACAGAAATGTCAGATTTTAAATTATCATAAGAAAAATTACAAAAGCTTTATCCAATTCCATGATAATACTAATCATTTATTCATAAAGAGAGATTCAAGAAGGGGAAATAACAATTACAGAACTGTAATTGATTCTTTAACTTTAGCAGACTGAATGTAAAGAAAAAAATCACTAAAGTGACGTGTAAGTTTCATTAATGGGTACATGACTATTTCTTCTATTGTTTTTCAAATTTATAGGGAAGGAGTTTATAGTATTAAAAAATAGCAGCGAACTTTTAAGTTCTCTTCTCTTTAAGAAGTTACAAGATGTATTGCCAAAGACATTATCTTTGCAATTTTGTCTTGTCTAAGAGAAACTTGAAAGTAAGAATATTCAGTCCCTTATAGTATTTTAGCCAATTTTTCAATTATTACTTTTTATAATTAATAATTTCGCAAAAGGGAAATGTTCTAAAATCATTGAAAGTTAAATTTGTTTAACCATGAGACTTGAATACATGCATTTCAAATGTAATGAACATCATTCATTGTTTCAATATCCTGATCTTGTGCCATTCATAAAAAGCCATTATGGTAGGTTTAAGCTTTTGTAAATGCTTTGTAATTAACTACATTACTTTCTTTTCTTTATTACCTGAATGTGAAATTAGGTGCTCCAATGTTTGTACATCCCTTCAGATTTTTAACATACACTGTTTTGGGTTCCAGGCGCATGTTGGCAGTTGCAGTTTTGAACCAATTTACTGTGAAAACAAATGTGGAATGAAAGTTCAAAGACGACATCTTACTCAGCATAAAGCAGCAGAATGTTCCAAGAGACTGGTTCCATGTCGTTACTGCAGCAAGGAATTTGTAGCAGATACATTACAGACACACCATACTAAATGTGGACGGTTTCCTGTGGCTTGCCCCAATCGCTGTGAAACAGCTATTCTGGCTCGTGAAGAACTGGATTTACACCTCAAAGAAAAGTGCTCCTCCCTTGGCATGTCATGTGCTTTTAAAGAAGCTGGATGCAGGTTCAAGGTAAGCTTTATAACAATGATTGTAAGTAAATAAAATCTTTGAATTTAACGTCTTTTTCATAGAAAACAAGGTGACACAGAATTTGTTTATAGACGAAATCATTTTAGGAATTTATTCCTTTCACTAAAAACAGTAAGGGGGTAAGGGTGAAGTAAGCAGTACTGTGTGTTTGGGGGGCTAGTAAATTTGTGGCAACTTTGATGTGCAGTTATACAAATTATATGCAAGTTCTTGAAGTCATTCAGTTGTATTATTGTTCTCTTCAGACAGATCAACATTTTTATCACTTGCCATTTTTGCATGGTCTCAAGAGTAATAATTTTTGAATTCTTCCAATTTCATGTTCTGATGTGATAATATTATTTTGCAGGGGAATAGATACGCTTTGGAAAAACACCTGGACGAAAACACTAAGCAACATCTGGTGCTCATGTGCAGTGTGGTCACCAAGCAGCAGCACCAGATAACAAGCCTGAAAAGTGCATTGTCAAGATTATCTCTTAATTATTCAGGTATGGAAAAGTAGCTTTACCTAGGATTACATCTTTGCACCGTTATAATTTCACTGCAATCCATTTGCTTGCAATTTTTTTTTTTGCAACAATATAACTTTGTAATAATTTCATATAGTAGCCACTAATAAACATGTGATTGAGTTCAAAATTAAAATTTTTAAGATTTGAAACCAAACCTAAAATTATGTGACTAATTAATTTGTTCTTGTTTTTAGGAACACTTATTTGGAAAATTAATGATTACGCATCCAAGTTAGCAGAAGCCAAGACCAAAGAAGGAATGGAATTAGTCAGTCCTCCATTTTATACTAGTCAATATGGTTACAAGCTTCAGGTGTGTGAAATATTAACAGATTAATCATATTTTAGCCGAAGGCACAGTAAATAAATATGATATTTTTTATCAATTTAGCAGATCAATAATTATGTTTTTGTCATTCCAGGCTTCTCTATTTCTTAATGGAAATGGTGCTGGAGAAGGTTCTCATATCTCTGTATACATTAAAATCTTGCCAGGAGAATATGATGCTCTTTTGCGATGGCCTTTCTCTCATTCAGTGTCATTCTCTCTGTTTGACCAATCTCCTGTTCCTGAGAAAGTAAGTGCCACAATCAAAAGTTGTATTTGAATATATATGAAATTTATATTTCTTGACTAATTATTTTTTTCTCCCCAGGCTTGTAATATTGTTGAGAGCTTCATTCCGGATCCTACTTGGAAGAACTTTCAGCGACCAAGCAAAGAGCCGGATTCCCTAGGATTTGGTTTTCCAAGATTCGTATCCCATGAAATGCTAAAGAAGCGTCATTTCATTAAAGATGATGTCATGTTTATAAGAGTTAAAGTTGACCCAAGTAAAATTGTGGCAGTGTGATAATATACTAATGTGAAGTGAAGGATAGTGAATTTATTGGTGTTTTTCAGTTTCTATTTATTACAGGGAAAGCAACTCCATCTTTAAGAATATCTAGTATACGTTTAGCAGATTTACTATAAAGAGTTATCACAATTGTACAACTTCATGTATCGTAACTTCGGGAACAAATTTAAATGGTTTTGTAGTCTGTGGTAGATCAGATGATTCTCATCTAGTTTGGAAGAAACAAAGTTCATGAGCACTTGTAAATAATCTGTGTATATGCACAAAGTACTTATTGCAATATGGCCAGTGGTAGAGGAAATTAGTCAAAAGAATGCAAATAACCAGAAGATAACATGCTGTTTTATAAAAAAAGAGGCATGAGAGACATTACTCTATGTTGTGAAGACACATGCCTTCCATCAGAAGAGATTTAAGTATTTTCATTCATATCTGACATATGGCAAAACCATATTATTTTTCAAAGCATCTTTGTGAAGGCAGCTCCACACATTCGGCATTCACAGAGAAGTGAGTTACTGCTCGCTGTCCAGAGCAGCTGATGTGCCTAGCAAATGTTCACTGCTTTTGATGTGTCCAAAATAATCACATGGTGGGCAGAGTAAGCACGAAACGTTTATTGCTCAGCAAATAGCAAGCAACACTACTCAGGAATTGGCAAGTGGTCACTCACTACTCACCAAATACCAAATGTGTAGAACTGTCTTGATGTAACAAAATTGTCCATTAGGCACGTCCAAAATATTTAACTTGGCTGCCTGAATGTAACTGCTACAGCCTTGAAAAATATGATTTTGGACAGTTACTACTGTCATGATATTATCGATGTAAATATTGTACATTCCATTATTTTGTAGTTTTCCAGTCAATAACATAGTTAAGTTATGCATTTTCAAACTATACATGTCCTGAGTTTCATATTGAAGCAACCTTCATACTGCCAAAGTATGCATAATCAGGAACTCACAAATAAAACCATGTACAGTTTGAAAATTATCTATAAATGTCTTGTAACAACTTTATTATCTGTGGTAGATTTCATTAGCCAAAGATTTTGTATAATATAAACAAACAAATGAACTGCACTATTAGTTAGCATGTTAAGAGGCATTTTCTAGTTGTTAAGAAAATCAGGAATAACTGGCATTTATTAATGCCATGACTTCCTGTCATAGGAGCTGGAAATAAGCCAAAGGGTGTAAAAGATGTCTTTGCATTATTCGTAATGTCAAGACTTGTCAATTTGGTAGATACACACCATACTATAGAAATTTGTAAATTATGTCATCTTAATACATAATGCTCTTTTTATTATGTACATTTAGTGGGTGTGAAAATAAAGTCATTGTATGTTTATCAGTTTTTATTAAATACATGTAAAAATACACAATTAAAAATACTGTACATTTTTTTTTGTTGCTAAAAGCATATCAAAACCTTACAGTCTAGTTCCCATCAAACATCCCCGTTGTCATTACTCATATTCACAAATCATTCAATTAATGCAATCAACAGGATTCACTTTTCTGAATAAAACAATGTTACTAATAATATACAAATTATTAAAATAAAAACAATATAAAATATAATTAAAAAGAAGTAATTTTGCATCTACATCATGGGCCACCCTCACTGGGTAAAAGCTTGGGAACCCGATGCTTGGGAAGGTCCTCTGCCCTACAACAAAATAAATACACGTCAGAAACATGGCCAATTTGGAAAGAAACATGTTTTTTAATTAATAAGACTTTCTTAACATTTAAATTATTCAGCAATTTTGATATCGAACAAGAGAAACTGGTATAACAGAAGTACGGAAAATTAAAAGAAAAGAAAAAAATAAATCAATTATCTAGAACACAACATGACAGTCTTTTCCCATTTACAATTTCTAGGTACTTCCTCAGTTAGGAGAGGGAGCACTGCTATCCTACAGGGAGCTTAAATTAATTTAGTAATTAGCTCTTGTATTATCAAAAAGCATGAATTAATTAATTTATTTTATATCATACACAGTTGATAAATAACTTTAATACTAATAAACTAATAAATTTACTAATATTATGCCATTTGTAATATTAAGTTAATTTATTACTGCCATTTTATTTACAAATTGACACCTCCGCAAACAAAGCGCATGAAAATAAAACTTTAAAGTAGTAATTCCGTTACATGGCCACAGTGAATTACCCCCCGCCCCCCCAAAAAAATTAAGTGAAAGTAAAATCTGTTCTTTAAGACAGTAAGAAGCAAGTCAATATCGCCATCTATTATCAGTGCAATGCCATGCCAATGCTCATCTATTTGTGTGCGCATTCAACACAATTAAAGGAGGCAATTTAAAATCAAATAACATAAATATAATATAATATAATAAATAACAATAATGAAATGAAATATCAAATAATATATCAATTCTAACTTACGTAGCATCCAACTGTGAAAAATGGAAGCAGGCGACTGAAGGCTGGCCATTTTTATTTCGTATACTTCAAATAGGTTTTAAAAAACGTATAAAAGATTAACGCGTAAATGTACAACAGAAGGTCTAATATAAAAAACGAACAAAGAAATATTTAATAATATACAAATTCTAACTTACGAAGCATCTGTCTGGAATCGTTCACGAAGCTCAGTAAATTTGCAGCGGCCATTTAATTTTGTTGCCATAATACAGAATAAAATGTTCATATTTTCAACAATTGAACATTATTTCATTCAAAATCTATTTTTTATGAACGCATTTCATTTAAAAATTTGTATCTTCACAAATATAATTGTAGGAAAACATCAAACATTTATATTTTTTATTTTTGCAAAGTCACGCATTTCAATGAACATGAGACACGCACATTTCTCGTAAGCGTTTTTTATGCTATCTAAGTTCAATATTGCAATTGAGAATATTAGTTAACAAATTATTATCTCTCTTTTAATATTTATATAGTTCTTTGAGTCAGAGTTACTTGTGCATACTTTTTGTAATTTATTTTTAATTTTTGTACATTAGTGGAGAATTGTCTCTACTAAAATGTATTGCAAGTAAGATATTACAATAACTTTGCACATTATGCCGTACACCATTTATTTTCAAACAAGACATGAATAATCCCAAAAAAGATCAATAAGTTGTCAGCACTTTATTGTAAGTCAAGTGGTTAAGAAAATATTGAAGACTGTAGTAAATAGGTTACTCCATAAAGGAATTACTAATGTCACCCCTATAGATTAAATATTAGAAGACATTGAAATATACACACACACACACTGCCCCTTGGGGGGGAGAGAGAGAGAAAAATCCATTTGAGTGAGGATTTTAGATTTTGCAAGAATGGATTAGCCCATGCAGGACACAGCATTCGTTTCCGCAGTGAAACTGTGTGGCATAAGGTCATCATTAGGGGGCAGATTTTAATGAAATGCCATTTTATTTCTTTTCACTTTACAACAATGCTGTTTAGTAAAGAAATTTGTTTTATATTCTGACAAAGTGGCCCATTTTCTTTGCGTTGGGGCCTTTTTAGGTCATTCTTAAAGCATTTTCATGATCATTTTTGGCAATGTCATCAAAATACACCCCTTGTCATCAGTATGGTGCCCATTTCCGGTTCCCTACTTTCACTCCAGGGGACACTACTTCTATTAGGACCTTTGGCCAACATTTTTAAAGCTGCTTAGTGCTGGAATTTGTGGCACTGAGGCGATTTATTTCTTTCCAGGAGGGAATTAATTTCCAGGACGTTGTATTTCCTATGTTCACTATAAGCAAGCTTCAGGTTTACTGCACCCGAATCTTATGCGTATTTGCAATGTAAGTAAAACGAGACCATTGACAAAAGTTTACTATAGCCAAAGGTACACTATATCCAAATTCACTAAAACAGGAACTGACTGTATTAGCTTTATGTTCCCCCTCTTTTTCATTAACTAGTAAAGATCATACAATTTTCTCCCAAAAACACATCAGTATTTCAAATGTATCTGGTGCATGTAATCCTACACAAGGTAGAAGTATTCAAACAATGCGAAGGTGACTGGAAAGGGAGCAAAGTTACAAGAGTGGGAGAAAACAACTTTTTAGTATTACAGACCTAAAAAATGTGAAAATATACCAAAATCTCAAAGTTCAATTTCTGAATGATAGTAAAGTTTCTCTATGATATCTGCGTAAGTAAAAATCAATTAGTATAGAGTGCAGAAATATTTCAAGACAATATTGATACCTTGAAAGTACAAGACAAAACTCGTACATTCTCTTACAATCAGCATTACTACAAAACTGGTCTTGTTAATAATGTGAACATATTATACATAATGTGAATTAAATTAAAAACTAACAAATAGAAAACTCCCATTTTTAGAATTCACTAGATATCAGCAAATTGGCTGAAGGTTCACATGGGGGAAAGTTCAATGACATTCGTTGGGATTCTCAACAATAATAATATTTCACCTTCACAATAAATTATTTAAATCATGTGAGAAGATAAACCAACAGAAACAAACTCGAACAAAGATGGCAAACTTTGAAAGCAACTAGTAATGCAACATTGTAAAATCGTTCATAGGATACCAATAAAATTTATACAGTGAAACTTGCTGAAATGGTCACCTTCATAAACTGGTCACCTCTCTTAATGGTATTTAAATTAATGGAAATTCATGTGTCAATATTCCCTATTAAGCAGTCACCAGGCACATTTTGTACATTAACGTGTGTTAGACACTCATAATTTCCTGAGGAGTTGAAGATTTTAATCCACAATGCTAAAAAGAGCAGAAGGCTGATCAATATTACTGTGATGAATATTTGGAATATATTTGTGCAGCAGCATACAACCACAGATTAAATACAACTGAGCTAGAGTTGCATATTTTGCATATAAATAAATTATTTTCATGCATGCACTAAAATTTCCTTATGGCAAGCAACTACAACTTCAAGTGATGTCCAGGAATGAAGAGCAGCAACCAATGCTGTTAAAAACAAGTGTAAATAATTATACTACTAAAAATAATTATTTTCAGAATAATGTCTTAATCCATTTGTAACAAGTATTGAAAAATAATTCCTAGACCAAATGCTAAGATGGCCCTTTGTTTTGTTTCTGGACAGTAAATGTAACTTCACTTTCTGTGCAATTGTACTGCTTCCGCATTCACCACATTTGGGGTCATATATGATTGAAATTGTATATGTGACTCAATAAATATTATTATTAGATACCGAGCTTTGAATGATTTTGTATAAGTACTGTTTCAAGCAGGGTTGTCCAACTTGTGGCCAGCAGTGTCATTTATTATAGCCCACAAAAGTGAGTAGCTTGCATCCATGTCAGTCAAGAACATTGTTCACCTGGCGCACACATTGTGCCGGAGTCATGCAACTTTCCAGCAAAATTATTTTTGGATAATCATTACAACAAATAGAACTGTATCATAGCAGAAGGTGAGTGTAAGTTATGACATTTTACTAAATCAGTAACATGACACTTTTGACCAAAACATTTTAAATTTCCCTTCTCAAAATTTGTCTATGGATCTGCCCATGATTATAGCAACCACATTTCTTCATTTTCAATTGTTTTACTTTAGTTCATTGTTACAGTTCAAATTTCACATACACTTTTGGAATCGTCATGATTCTTTAAAATTTGACCTTTATTTCCTGTCAAGTATTTTTAAAACACCTGTCTATTGTGCCACAAAATTACCACAAAAATTGTTGATACGCTAGTTTATAGTACTTCTTTTAGTTGGTAGAGGTACAAAAATGCATGAAATATAAAAAAAAGTCTAGGAGCATACTATATCTTTATGAATTATCACTTCCAAAATATATGAATAAAAACAAAACATAGATTACGAATAACTTTGAACAGGAAAACTTTCCAAAAATAGTACTACTGAAAGTATTCAACTGAACCTGTTGAACATTAAATTATAATAACTTACATTCTGTAATCTGAAGAGCTGATCTAATGCATGAGGTAGTAAAGGTCTTATACTATTTATTTCCATCAGAGTAAGGTGATCCAGCCTTGCATGAATAGCATTTGTTTTAATAATTTGATCCACAGATGAACGCAGTTTGGACATACGAATATCCCAGATATCCTACAAATCAATTATAGAAATATAATACACAAGCAATAAATGTTTCTATACTATGTGAACATACAAAACATTATTAATCAATACGATACAAAGTAAAAATGGCAAATCTGAACAAATACCAACCTTCAAAATAGTTCGGATCTGTTCACATCGAGGAATATCATCTGCAGCAACAGAAAGCAATAGATGAGCTTCAACCATATAATGTTCACTAGGCATTTTCGTGAAAAACCTGGAAATCATTACGAACAATTCATTGCACTCATTTTAATTTACTTTTGACACTGACGTTTGTTTATTAGAACAAATATTCCAACACTTGTAATCATTATAAAATATCACCTTTCATTTAATTCTTGTTTCTTTACTTCTTCCAAATCTTCAACGTTCATCCATCTAGGAGGAACAATTCTACATTTCTGCCTTCGTTTCAAACTCATTGCTAGCCAAATAGGAACTTTCACAGGCAAACCTGCTCGAAAAGGACCAATGTCGCCAGATATTAAATATATCACTTCATAGTTAAAGTTCGGAACAATGCTAACTAGTTCTTTTTCAGCAATGAATTCAGTTTCTGCTGAATTCATAATTTTAAGGGCAGTGTCGCGATTATCACAAGAAAAATCATCGACACATCATCCCACTTTACCAGCTCAGTGCGCGCCTGATGCGCGCGAAAACATGTATCGCGCCATTTCCTTTTCATCACAATTACGCTCTCTATTAGCCAATACTTGGACTTCAAGGAAATGTAATCACAAGTTCGCGTTGTATAGGTTAGAAATAAAAGTTGAAGACTAATCACTAATAATTGAAATGAATGCATTTTATCGTCTAATGCTTTTATATAACAAAACCTAATGGTAGAGCAAGGTGCGAAAGATACTATGACGAGTAGACATGACAAAAGGCGACCCTAGCGGACAAAGTTGCAAATCACCCCAAACGCGAATTTCAGAATACCTCCTGTTATACCATAATCCCTTATTACATTGAAGCGGGATGATGGTCTGTTGTCATTGCCAAAGCAGGGGGGGGAACCAGAATCCCCACGGAAGGGGTGTGAACGCCATCAATCATCGTTTTGCCGCCGACAGCAGCAACATATTTTATTTACCTCTGCGTACAAGACAAAATGTACATAATGCACGGTCGATTGAATTCCATAATAACTGACCTAAATGAAATGTAATGTCAAAATGTTGACTAGCTTTTATTGACGAGTCAGTGAAGACAGATATCATTTCATTGGGTCAGATATTGGAGAGAAGGTAAGGCGGTTTTCTGACATTTTACATTGACACTCTTTTCTAAAGACTGTGTGTCTTTAATTTACACAACACCAAATGCATTTCGTCTAATAATGAACATCGCGTATTAAAAAACCTCGCTTTGTTAAGTAATTTAAAAAAAATGACTATTTCAAAGGAGTTGTCCGACAACAGACATTACAAAATCCATTACATACGCTTCCGTTACATCTTTACAAAATTCTTTAAACAACCTCCGTCATTATACGAACTGCTTTTCAACAAGTATACGCTAGTATGATTTTCAGAGAATTACACAAAATATTGTAGGCCCTCATAGAATGCTCTAGTAAGACGAGGAAGCAACTCTGGGGGAGACCGATGCGCTACGCCCCCGGCAAGATATACTCTCTGGCTCGGAAGCTCGAGATCGGGTCGGTATACTCTACGTAGTTCGGTATTTTACCGTGAGAATGCGCTGTGTTCGCTGTAGGCGAAACGTGAGTGCGAATACCTCCTCGGCTTTCCTGCTTTGCTGTCTCTCAAGCAATTGGTTGCGGTTTCACTTGCGTACGCCGGAATCGACAGCTCTCGTCAATCGGTCCGATACGATCCGTTTCCGTTCGATTTTGCCCAATCGGGCAAGGAAAGAGGGAGGGTAAGGAACCGATATCCAAAAATGACAGCATTTGTCTGCCAGGCTTCGTGATAAGGCGGAAAGGTCGAAGGGAAAGCATCGTTCTGGAGAGTAGAGTTTGAATTTGGTGTATATGTGCGCGAAAAATATCTCATACGCTCTCATTAACTTTGCTGATAGCAAAATTAGAATTTGTAATGAATTCATTTAGGAACAGTTTCAAAATATGAATTGGTGGCCATTTAATACTTTGTTCCGGATTTCTGGGAATACGAATTTTCTTTACCAGAACGTGCCAAAATTGTTCTAGTGTATGATTGTTATTGATTCAAGTAACATCTTAACGCATTCTTCTATTGAAATAGATTAATTATGCAAAATCCACCTACTCTACCCAACTCCCTTTTTCTATACTTATCGAAATGTATTTGCGATTAACAAAGTGGAATTACAGGATAAAAAGGACAATCTACTAAGAATATGAATTATCAAAATTAACAAGATGACGTACCTTAAAAATTCAATTTAGTAGACAGTTTAAGATTGAATTGATTTAATCGATTTAATTAAATAAATAAAATTGTATCGAACGTTTCATTACATTCACAGAGAAGTCCGAAAATTGCTTCTGGGCAAGTGCGATAGTATTCGCCGCTTAACTTTTCATGAAGTGCATTCATTCCTCAAGAATCCGCGTCCTCTTTCATTGACAAAGAAGAAGAAAACATAAGGGGGTCTCGCTCAAATTACCACAGATTTTGCACCTGCCACGTATTCTGAATTTTACGGCGTCCTCGCGACCAGGCTCTCAGGAGCGCCGAGGACGACGGCGCTATGCCGAGGCACCTGTTGCGGGCGCCACGCGGAGGGGGCGTGGCTTCCCGCCCCTCCCTCCAGACAGCGCGGCGGCGCACGCGGAGAGGGGAGGGGGAGGCCTTGGAATGCCTCGGCTGGACAGAGCGCGCCTCCGCCAGCGCCTCCAGGTGGGCGACGAGGTAACTCAGCTGTGGAGAAATAACAGACGCCATGAGAAGTTTGGAGATTATTCGTGCTACTTGACGAATGAATCAAATGAAACTTTATCAAATAATTTGTCCCATTATACGAATGCAAGATCCGTCGATGTTGAACGAAACACAATGAAAAGTTTTATACCTAACCTGAGAAAATAATACGAGAATAGGCACCTTTTCTCCATAATCAAGTAGAACGTAAGGAAACCACTTACTTTCCGCGAGTACCTGGCGAACGGCATATGGATCCACAATTGATTGTTTGATTGATTGAGCGTTTCCGGGCGTGCCAACGGATGTCGTTATTCCCGTAAGTGTAATGCGTTTTCTTTCCTCAGGAGGTGGCGGTGATCTTTCCCCCTGGAAGGAGAGATCCGATGCAGACCTATCGCTAGCGGGGTTTTCCCCAACCAGGTATTTCCCACCAGCAGGGCACCGCCATCCCGGAACAAGCTCTAAGCTCCCGACCGGTCTTCCAGCACGTGTGGTTGTGTCCCGTCATTGTCGTGTATGTGCAAGTAAGGGGTGAGGATAGGGCAAGGAAGAGGAAGGAAAGATCACGCGCGGTCCGTGGCCCATTTTTTAGGGTACAGTCTTGGCATTCGCTTGGTGTTGATCGGATAACCCACGGAAAACTACAAACTTCCAATTGTGTAGGATTAAAAAAGATTACTGCAGATAGAAATAATGCCTTACATTTTTTTACGATGGGTTTGTGAAGCACAACTGAAATTTAGATTCCACATTGCTAACAGTAAATTGATGAAATGGAATGTTAAGTAAATAATGTCTGGCGACTGGAAAATGTCATATGAGGTCTCTCTATTGACATGTATGCAAAATACGAGTAGATATATCTACTTACCATAGAATCTCGAACCGCCTTGTTTTGGGAGTGAATTTACCAGAAACTGCTGTAGAAATCTTGCTGTAGAAATCTTTCTCAACTAGTCTTCTTGTTTAGTAGGCACTTCGAAAATCCATAATTCGTTACTGCACTACTAATTCTTACGCACACACTACGACGAAGAAGATTTCAGTTTCTGTTAACCAATTTTCATCTAACGTGATTTAAGCAAACTCATATTTTTCAGTTTCCAAAAACAATGTTTGACTGACATCACTAGTATATGGATTTTATATTTTATACACTAAAGAGAGCACCTTTACAGGTTTAAAATAACTATAACATAGGACTACTTGAAATACTGCAAATATTTTCAAAATGTGTGATGAATTTTCAGTGTTCGAACAAATAGTCCCGAATGTTTTACTTAACAGACTTCAACTTGAAATCTAATAATCACTTGTGATAAATTGCAAAATATTGTAAACAAAACCAGTGATTTTCGGCTTCCAAGGAATCCTAAGAATCCAATATATCAAGGAATCCTATAAAAAACAAAGAACCGTTCGTTTGGCCTTTAAGATACTCCCTCATCCCCATCCTTGATAATGCTGAGACTAAGAGTCAGCCTTCCCTGGCCGGTTCAACATTTTAAATAAACTAATTTGAAAATGTATTGGAATTACTTGTCCCTTCTCTCACTCTCTCCTTTTCTGTCTGTTTCACTCTCTCACTCTGTCTGATTCTCTCTGTCTGTCTGTCTCTCTCTATCTGTCCGTTCGTCTGTCTCTCTCTTCCCTCTTTGATTTATTGTGCTCTTTCGAAAACACTGTTTTTCGACACATTACATTACTTATCCTGTCAGTGAATTTTATTTCTTACGCAATGGTCAGTTCAGGTATGCTCAGAGCAAGTCACTGCACGACTTTAATTAGGATTAATTTGAAGGAAGGTAAGGGTATCTGAAAGGCTTTAACAAAGTTATAAGTTACATTTGTACAATTTAGAAAGTACTTATATTATCATTAGAAAAACTGAAATGTGCAAAAGATTATTCTTTTTAGCTGATTTGGTAGAAGTAGATGTTATACATGCTATTTCCCGAGTAAATTTCATCTTTTCTAGCGTTCCTTTTTTCGCCTTGTCTTCCTATTGGTGGAGACCTTTGATTTTCACCCAAGGGCTTATTCTTTTCTTGTTTTTTTGCATTATTTGAAAAAAGGAGCATTGTTTTCTACATTTCTCAGTGTGCAATATCTTCACTCCAAATCCATTGAACTGAACTGAAATAACAGCCGGAAACGGTGGCAATAGAGCATAGGATTTAGGGATTTAAGGTACAAGACATTAGAACGATATAACAATCATGTTTATTGACAAAACAAAGTTCACAAGTGACAGTCTATAAATTGGGATTGACATCAGTGATGGCTCGTGGGCTGAAATTGAGATGAAGTGCTACCCTAGTACAAACCTTGTAGCATTTTCGTTTACATACATACTCCTATTCTTGTACTGAATTTTTGGTTCCTCTTCAGAATTAAATATAGTACTGCAACTGGGAACAAAGCAAAACCGTAGGCGAACACAACATCAGTGCTACCTCACGTGATATAAACCGAGAAGAAAAAGAAGTATGTAAAAGATACAGAAAAATCAGTGTGAATAACTTGTTCTGCATTTTTCAACTTATGCTGCCCAATATGATAATTATGGTACGTTGCATATTGTTAAACGGACATTTACAGGAAGCTAAAATACATTTGTGTCACATTCATAAAATTCATTTAGTATAATGGACGACCTGTTGGGAAGTACACAAATGCTACAAGAGACCTCTTGCGATGGAAACAATTATCTCAGCACGGCAGCTGGGTCGTGCTGAAATCTGTAATGCAAAACGCGGCCAGAGCTGATGCATTTTGGGTCTTAACATACTGAAGTAGTTCGGTTCTGCATTTCACTATCCAAAAAAATTCTCCATAGTTATCATAGCAACTGTAACGCCATCTTACTTCGCCATCCATAGCTACAGCGCTACTAGTGCAGATAGGAGCCTCAGACCTCCAGGGGCGACCAGAAGAAATAGGGGCGGGAATACAGTTGGAGCGACTTGCTCCTGGCCCCGACTTAATTGGGCGCCGA